GTCATCGAAAATTGGACGTTCAGATTGGACTACATCCGCGCCAGCCGTGGCGGTCATATGCCAGAAATCATATTTAAAATGTAATGACACAAGATTATCTTTCGGATAAATAAAATTCATGTCAATCGAATAATCCGTCGTTGTTTTATTGCAACTTAAAGTTCTATACCTCTATAAAAAACACGCTTTACAAGAATAATATCGGCAGACGTGAATTTCGCAATTTCCCTAATTTGTCAGAAGTAATTCTTCAACAACGACGACATGCTTGTTTACTGCCAACATTTGGAGAACCTCTACAGTGATTTCGCAGAACGATTCCAGTACATTTTAAAATTGGAAATAACGGACTGGGTGTTGGATACTTTTTTAAATGTCAACACACCAGGATCTTCCCTGCTGGAAGAAGAACTCATAGAACTGATAACGAACGAGGAAATAAAAATAAAATTCAAAAATGGATACCAAGAAGTTTGGCTACAAAAGCCAATCTCACAATTGTACCCTGGATTGTGGTCCATCGTTCAAAGATTTTTGATAGCATTCCCATCATTGTATTTGCGTGAACGTGTATTTAGTTCTGCGGCAACGTTGCTAACTAAAAAGAGAAATCGGTTGCAGATTACCGGACGCGGTGACTTACGGCTGTTTTTGAGTAAATGCGAGCCTGATATCAACAAACTTGTTAAAAGTCATCAACTTCATCATTCACATTAGATTAGCTTTAAAATTCAAATTGAAATGTTTGTTTTAATAACATGAATAAAAGTTTTCCTAATATTACAAAATGGTGTTTTACATGACTCTCATCAGAAAGTCTTATTTTCACATGACACACATAATTTAATTATTAAAATAATGACTGCGATTGTGATTCTTAAGATGTAGTAAAGTAAACAAGAAAAGGGGGGAGCTAGAAAATAATTAATTCTCGAAGTGGGCGGTAGACAAAATAAGTTTGAGAACCTCTGCGCTAGAGTCATGGAAAATTGGACATTTCGGATGCGTTTCATCCACAGAAGCTGTGGCGGACATTTGGACGATGTTATATTCCACACATAATGGCATCAATAGGTCTTTCAAACTAATAAAAATTTTGATATCTCACTTAATGAAAAATCTTGAAGCTGTGGCCAATCATAATCAAATCACATAATTTTGTATGAGTACTTTGTCAGCGTTTTACATTTATAATGAGCATTTATAACTTCTTACTATCAGGAAACAAAGTAAAGCGAGGATTATGATGCACATAATAAAAAATAATGGGATACTTATCATAAAATAAACAAACCAAAGTGCTTTTCGTCATATAACCCATTCCAATCGGAAATATTGAAATTTCGATTAGCTTTATTTTCGTTTGGGAATAAATAAAAATTAGGGCGACCTCTCTGCTACCATCTGGCAACGAAAATTGCACGTTCCTTTTGATTTGTTTTACAGTACGCCTCGGCCGATAGATAACCATCTAGCGGTCGCATTCGGGTCGGAGGTGCGCCAATGGATCAATCAATATGCATAGCGGAGATTGTTTCAGACCTAATAATAAGCTATGACAGGTTTGCGCAATTCCTACACAAAATCATGTGCATGATTGAATATTCTCGGCTCGCGCGCCTTTTTCAAATGGTCGTGTACCGTTCAGCGAGTCCGACATGGGTATTTATAGTTTCAATTGAAAATGACAAAGCGTTCGTCGGGAGGTTGGTTTCCATACGTAGGGAAACTTTTGCGTCGGATGTACGGAGATACAAAGTTACGCGCGTACACCTTTTTTTTTTGCTATTTGGGCACCGTCTGACGTGCCCATTTTTTCCATGTTTCCAGCGGCTTTATTTTCGAATTACGTGAACCTGTATCTGTAGAGTAGGGAGGGTGAGTGTAGGCCCACAGAATTTAGGCCACATGTGACCCATTGTACATCCTCCCGAGTAGTAGTCCTTCTAGGTCATCGTCCATCCTGTCCTTTCCAGGAAGGTGGACAGGTCACTGGAAGACATCTCCTTATATCGGCAGGTGTAGGCCAAGACTCGCCAAACACACACTCTCTTATTGCCGATAACTTCGGACACCCGCAATTGTCGAAGTCATCAGCCCGTAGGTGCCACTGGGTCCCAAAATTCTTAGTCCAGCCGCTTCCTTGGCTAAAGAATCGGCAATGCGATTACCTTAACTCCTGTACCCTATACGTGAACCCTTCACATCGAGAAAAAAATCGGATGTCTCTCTCTCTCTGTTTTGAAAGTAAAATAAACGTGGTGTGGGGGTTCACCTGATTTCAAAGTGAGGCCCCTGAAACACTATTGTTTCATTACTCTGTTCAACAAATTCCTTTTAGGTTAAACTTCTTTCTTCGCCTCCGAAAAATATGAACGATTCGGAATAGCGTGTAGATGATGCAAAAATTGCAGAAGTTATAAACAATAATCTGAGAAAAAAGGAGTTTGTTTTTTTGCAATTATCTCAAAATGTATGTGACATGTTTCAAATTTAATCCTAATGATAATTAATAATTACAAGGTGAATAATAATACGCTCCGAGGGATATTGAATCCGTTGTGGGGAACGAAAAGTGCCGAATTTATTGGAACTATTCGTTCCCCACCCTCAGGCTCATACAAGCTAATAAGCCTGATGTAGTCCTTCTCGACCACCAGACCAAAACGATATTTGTCGTGGAGTTTTCAGCCCCTGACGAGACGAAAAGAGGAGGAAAAACTGATAAAATATCGAGATTTTCTCATCGAACTCCGCAGACTCTATCCAGATCACTCTGTCAAGATGGTTGTTCTGATTATTGGAGTCCTTGGTAGAATCATGCCCTCTCTACTGTGGAATCTCAAAATCATCCCGGCTTGCCGCACTAAGGCAGAAATCTTAGCCGGACAGATGCAGAAAGCTGTCATCCATGGCTCACTGCGCTTGCTCAGGGCACATGTTCGTCGGACCAATGATCAGTTACCCCACGCTGTGGTTGATAATGCTGGGGCGTCCTCCCGAATGTATCGGGGCTTCGGGGGATATGGCCTGACCAGCGCATACTACGGTAAAAATAATAATAATGATGAAACTGATTTGTGAATATGTGAAAAAACTGACTGCGGTTTTGAACAGTTTTGAGTCATCACAAAAGTGGAATTTCGGATGATCCTCCTGAAAGACATTTTTAAACGGTGGCAAAACCAGTGAATAAAATTTTAGTTACTTCCGAAACATTCTAAAAATTGATTTTCAAGGAATTCAGTTACAAACAGACAGTTTTCTGTGATTTGCCAAAGAAAATGTGATCCTTGTATAATTTTATATCCGTATGGAAAGAAGTTGTTTCTGACTGTATATGAAAAAAACATGTTTTGATGATGAACTTGATTTTCATTTCAACAATCTTAAGAACAATTTCATAGACATTTGTGTTATTGTCTGATTTTTTTTTTGTTTCCAGGAGGAGCAGCAGAGAAAGCGGGCCTTCATGCAGGAGATAAAATCATCAAAGTGAATGGGGTTAATGTGATGAATTCGACTCATACCCAGGTTGTTGCTCTTATAAAATGTAAGTTTATTTTTGAACGTACTTGCCTATTTCTGCCGTCATTCATTGGTTCCTTATTGAGATTATGAATATTTCAGTTGTGTATAATTAGCTTTCTGTTGTAGTGAAGGTTTTGTACGTTAGAGGAAATAACAAAATGCATCCGTTGAAATAAATGGAAAGTGATTTGTTATGATAACAGGTGAAGTGTACAGTGAATTCTGATGATGCAAAATTAGGGTAGATAATTTAGTAAGAAAAAAACAGGTTCTTATAGTAAAGAATTTCTCTGTACTTGACATTTTTCTGAAAATGCTCAACACCCGTTTTCCATTAAAAAAAAACGCTAAGGTCGATAAAATATTTATAATTTTTGTCGGTATTCATTTTTTATAGTCTAAAAACGAATTTATAACGATACAATATGTAGCAAGTTACATAGAAGAAACATTTCAATTTTTTATTTCAGTTCATTTGTTGAAGTAATAAAAACCGAAAAGCAACTTTCAAAAACCTTTTAAAAATAAATGAGCACACCGTTATTATTTTTTGGTATACGAGGTTTTATTGCTCAGATATTTTCCAAGTCTATACAGTGTGTAACAACGAAAACTTAACAGAGCCGTTTCTGAATATAAAAAGTAAGATTTTTAATAAAAGCTCGGCCACGTCGATATCTAATTAAAGGGGGACACCTTTCAGACTAATCAGATTTTTTGTGGTACGCACCCCCTCGAAGGGGTGCGTCCGACGACCCTTATTTAGATAGGGAAAGTAGGTCGAGTGGCCCTCTGTTTTAAGGGTCTTTCGAATACCTTTACAACTCTGTTGTAAGAAAATTTTTGTAACGATTAGTTCTCGAGATAATTTGAAGATTTAAAGGTATTTTTATTGAGTTCAACTCTTTTTAAAATAAATCAAATTGTTTTTAAGGTACAATTTACGTTCAGAACTTTCATAAAAAAAA